TCTAATTTTGTGTGTTTTATCAAAATGATGCAGGTGAAGATGGGGCCAGTAGAGCTGCCAAGGAACTGACATTTGAGAGTCCCTTAGAATCCCATGTGAAAATTGCGATTTTTTTACATTTATCCTGATCCTTCTTTGCTATTCTTGCATTCTATTTTTCAAGTATGATGACAAAAGAAATGGCATTTAAGCAGGCCCGCTCAGTTTGGACGTTTTCATCAGATTCTGAGCTATCTCCTGAAAATAGTCCTATAAAAGAGGATCAGAAAATTTCAGAACAAATAAGCGAGGCCAAGGATGGAATCCATATTGGCAGTAATGAAGACACTCCATCCAAGAAGGCTTCTAAAGATAAAGCTCCTAGAAAGGAGCTAGAAGAGGATGATCATGAGCCAATAAAAGAAAAGAAAAAGAGCAGTGTAAAAAGAAAAGGTACTAATTGAAGCTATTTTTGTTGGTTCTATATGCAATTCTATTGGTTAAAAGAAGTACTTAAACCACACTCAAGTCGAGGGGACTTTAGCTTCAATTCTATTGGTTCTATAATGTCTCTCTTATTTTTGATATGCAAAGACAAGTCTCTCTCTCTCTCTCTCTCTCTGAAAATGACTAGCTTTTGAAATATTGTGCATGTGGTATATCATACGCTAAAAGGAAATGCTGGCGATGAGGAAGTAACAGCAGAAGAAGCGGTTGAAAAGCAAGTTGGCTCTCATGTAAGAATAATTAATAGGAGATTAATATTGCTTGTGGTCTTTGGATACTGTTTGTCAGAGCTATATTTGATTTGCAGGTCTCTTCCGCAAGGATGCCTTTGGTTCTCTCTGAGAAAGTTCAACGAGCAAAGGTGGGGTAAAAATGTAGCTTGTTTGTAGCCTTTTATCAGTCTTCCTTTAGTAGTTACTGACTTACGGGGATTCTATCCTTAATGAAACATTAAGCTGTGAAATATGTTTTAGAGATCATAAAAAAATTATGAAAAAGGTTATAGAGGTTCAACTGTGTAAAGCCTATACCTCAAACCAGAAGGGGAAAAGAAAATAAGCAAGAAAACAAAAGAAAGGACAGATGGTTAGTTAATTATAAAAAGTTTGCTCTTTGTGCAGGCACTTGTTGAATGTGAAGGGGCTTCTATAGATTTGGGTGGTGATGTGGGTGCTGTAGGACGAATTATGGTTTCAAATACCTCATCTACAGATCATGAAATGTACTTAGATTTGAAAGGCAAGTTTTCTTCACACGAACATATTTCTTTGATTAATGATGTTCGATTGTCTGCTTTCCAAAGACATAAATGTTCATGTAGGTGCACACGAAATATCTCAATGGCTTGCAACCTTTTGCATAGTACAAAAGAAGCTGAAAATGTTGCCTGTGAGATTGTTAAAAACAAGGCTTTTTTTATTGCACAAGATCAAATGCATTGGCTTTTTTTCTTTTATTGTTTTCTTTGAGTTTTTCCTTCTTTGCACGTTGCTTGTGCCTTCTGAATCTGCCCAGTTTTTTTGAGTGACTATGTTTGACCTATGGATCTTTTCAATTTGCAACTTTTGTTTGCGTTTTAACTTCCTCGGCAGCTAACATCCAACTGTTCTAACGTTTGCTACCATTTCAGGAACAATATATAGAACAACAATAGTTCCTTCAAGGACATTTTGCGTTGTACGTCATCAGTCTCCTTAAAAAATCATCACTCTGTAGATAGTATTAGTATATTTTAGAAGTATTTGTACGTATCTGACCTCTCTTCTTATGCTGACGATATATCACAAATCCTCTCTTTCCAGGTTAGTTTTGGCCAATCAGAGGCAAAGGTTAGTATTTCCTTCGATCCTTATTACTCACTCGGACTCTCTTCTTTTGCTGGATGTGTACGATAGTTGATAGGTAAAATGCTCTTTCTGTTTCAATATTGGCCAATTGCCACTTTTTGCTTATCTTTCAAGATTTACTTCCATTTCCTGGTTTGAGTGTTACTGCTGTTTCCTCAATAATGATAAGAATCGAGGATTACAGGGAAAGAAAATAGCATTATCGTCGAAAATCAAATCTCAGTTGTTTGTTCCTTGGTCAGATAGAAGCCATCATGAACGATTTCATTCAGCTGAGACCACAATCAAATGTCTTTGAAGCTGAAACTATGGTTGAGGGTAGGGTCTCTTTTTTCCCTACAGCTTTCACTGGAATGATTTATGATTGCTTGTTTATGCGACAATTTCACTTTGAATACATTAAATCTTCCTTCAAGTCTCTTAATTTTCTATGAGTAGGAACCTTGGATGGTTTCTCGTTTGACTCGGATGAAGAGGCTGAAAAATTTCCAAAAGGTGTATCTCATCAAACTGGTCAAAACGAAGAGGATGAAGAAAAAGCTAATGGGAAAACGAGAGGAAAAGCTGAGAAAAAATCAGTGTGTCTCTGATCCTATAGTTATTTGGACTGTCCTTAATGAATTCAACCAACTCGCTCACGTATTGCGGTGCATGTATCTGTTGCAGGGAGTTTCACGGAAAAGAGGTAAAACCACCGGAGGGAAGTCACAGTCGCAAAAGAAAGTAAAAAAGAAAGCTCCAGTTTCCAAGAAAGCCAAGACCAAGAAATGAGAATAATATGTTACTTTATTATTCATTCAGTTCCAGTTTCCAAGAAAGCCAAGACCAAGACCATATAATTTTGTAACATGTTAGTCGCCACAACTTATGTTGTAATAATGGCCTTGCTGCCCAAAGTTTTGAATTCAAAGATGTAAAGATCATTTGTACAAACTCCAAATCTCATGATGCAGTTTACAACTAGTTTCTTCTGCATCTAGGTTTAGTTTGATTACTAAATCGATACGACTGATCTCTTCCACGTGATATTATGGCATTATGTTACTTGTTTTGCTAAAATCTACTGGTGCACATACTTTGTTAGTCTTAACTTTGGACGATTTATGGAGAACAACATCAACACGATTAATCTATAATACTATAAATTTTGGTTCCTCTTCATTACTTTTAGAAGATTTAAAAATTTTAAAGGCGTCTATCTAATTGGAGTATATGAACAAGTACATTCTGATGTCAGGACACAAGCCAATCAATCGGCTTTTCTGAGGAATACTATAAATTTTGGTTCCTCTTCATTACTTTTAGAAGATTTAAAAATTTTAAAGGCGTCTATCTAATTGGAGTATATGAGCAAGTACATTCTGATGTCAGGACACAAGCCAATCAATCGGCTTTTCTGAGCATTCTTGCTCTCGTTGATTCCTAACATCTTGGTTCGTCATTTTTCACCGTTGAAGGTCGCACGCAGATTGTTCTCTTTTGCAGAACCACTTGATATGGCTCGAGCTCAAAGTTGCAGGATCTGTTCATGAGATTAAACTGAGGATCAAAAGCATTACTAGCGTCGGAATCGGTAAGAGCGTGTTGGATGAGGAAACCATTCGCACTGATTCCTCATGGCTTGGATCTCCTATTGGTATTGTTGGAGGCGTTAATGGATTGTCTGGTTTTCTCTGCCTGTCTCATGATTCAGCAATAACAAAAATCAGCACTCAGAGGTGTGTGGCAGAGAAATTTTCACTTTCCGAGTCATTTGAGGAAAGAGGAGATTCGAGAAAAGAAGGTTTACCCGTTACTTTGAGGGCAGAAAACAATGGAATACTCGTATGCCTTGCAAGTAAAAGTGCTTGTGCCATCATCAAAAGCGTAGCTATAGGCTCTTGGACAGGCTCTCTTGAAAATGGTTGAGTAGAAAGAAGGTTTGCAGGTGGTTGGGTTAGCAAACTGCCCACTGCAGCAATACTGGTCCAACCCAAATGCCTCGCATGCACTCTTGCATGCAACCACACCACCCCCTCCTCCATTTTCCCCTTCTCCCCCCACCACTTGAAGCTCCTTTGGGCAACCTATTTCAATCACGTATCAATTTTTAAAGTCATAAGCATAAGAAGTCGAGCATTGCTATTAATCGTCACTCGACATACATATGTTAGTAAAAGACAACTATCATATGGCAAAAAGTAGAAAAATGGGTCTCATTTGATTATACAACGGTTTTAATGTATTGACACATATGTGATGATTGCATTACGAATGATAATAAATATAAATTTTTAAAAGGTTCAATAACCGACTATATATGTGCAGAAAAATATTCCTTTTGAAAATGAGTAAAAGACGAAAAAATCCTTTTACCCATGTTGATGTCTGAAGCGCACCCAGTGGCATTACAGGCACCAAAAGCGCCTACTGGCGCTGCGACCATGGGCAGATTGTAGCCGTCGACCATGCTGACATCATAGAAATCCTTGTCATCGCCCATGCCGAGCGTTATCTCAAAGAGAGATGCGGGAGGAGTTGCACCACTGCCGTCACATTCTAACCGCCCACCACAGTCCCCCGTTACACATTTTCCCACTCCCGACGCATCAAATGTGCAGCCTGTTCTGGCCCAAATCCGTCCCGACCATCCCGGAACAGAAGGAATCCTTATGCTTTGCCCTGAGTTGAGGCGAAACCCGGTGGTCGGAAGCTGGGGTGTTCCCGCACCCGCTAGTGTCCCGGGCCATATGGTGTGGGGGCAGTTGTTTGTGACAGTGAAAATGCAAGAGTGGGATACAGAGAAGAAGAAAATGAGAGCAAAAAAGACACAAGGGAAAGCTTGAATTTTTGTCAGCTGCATTGCCCGGGTTTCAGTCAATGTCTTTTCTACGGCTTTTCTAAGATGGAAAAGGAGGGAAGTTGATGGAAATAGCCTAGGGTCTATATAGCATGATAGTTTGAGGAATATGCAATGCAAGTCCTAGCGGTTACGTTATTTGTTATTTCTCAGCCGCAATATGACTTTTTTGGGTTTAGTATTTCTTTTATTTTGGATGGCCTCGCTGAGAAGAAATTCCTTTCTTTTGCAGTTGCAGGGGACACAATATGCAGAATGAAAGCCAAAATCTCTCTCTTGAAAAGCTAGAATCGTCATAGGTTTTCCCATCGGTGAATCAATTAGCAGCCTTATTAGCCTAAACAATGTTATACTTAATGCAGAGAATTTCCCTCGTAAAGGGTGTTTCTTATCTGAAGAAACGTACATTAATCAAATCCAAATTCAGAAGAAGGATTTCATTGTAAAGGGAAAAAAAAAATACAAAATCCAGTTGCATATCCACTAGGCGAATTTGCTTTCCAAGATATGGGCAAGTCTTATACTTTGTTCAGTTCTCCGATTTAAATTCAATTCAAATTGAGAGTTTTTACTGTGACAGAAAAAATTAAATGTGACTTTTTATAAATTTTTTATTGTAACTCAAATCGGAGATCTGAACTAGGCCAATCATGTTGAGATCCCTGTCTGTTTTTTCACTGTTAGACAAACACAATCATGTTACTGTCTCACCTCTGTCTCATGATAACCATACCTGCGTTTGCCGTACTGGTTAAACTTTCATTCTTTCAGTTAAGTTAAACTAGTTATTTTGGATTCGTTTGCTTGTTATAGTCGATTTTTCACTTTTAACTTTCATTCTTGTTAAACTAGTTATTTTGGATACGTTTGCTACAATAGTCAAATTTTCACTTTTAATATATATGACTATTTAATTCGTTGATTCGAATTTTTAATTCGAATTAAGATGTGACTCTATGTGTTTTTTACTGTAACAAAAAAGTAAGTTAAATATAAATATTTTTAAAAATTTTAAACCGCAGCAAAACTCGAATTGATAAAATGAACACACAATAACAATGTTTTCATTTCTTTACTTTTCAAAAGAACTGTGGTGGTACATTAACATTAAAAAAATAAGGGAATTGATTAACCGCTGGAATATGCCAACAGCTAATAATGTTGTGGTCCTGCAGAAGAGTATAGAGCAAGTTTTACACATAAAGGGGTCTTATTATCCATTACGTGGATGTAAACCTACAAAAAATTACAAACACACTAATGTTTGTCTCAAAAGAAAAAAAGGTCGTATATACAATTTAATCACAACAACAAAAAACGCCTGAGGAGGAATGCATAGATCCTCATCACCATTCACAACTGAATTCTAAATTCCATTACAGTTATCAATCAATCAAATCTGTAAGGCTTTCCCCCAATTTGCAGTTACAAATTCTTTCAGCAACAGGTAGTTGGGAAATGCCAAGCTGGGAGGGACATAACCTACGTGATACATTGTAGTAGAACTCCAGCTATTTTTTATATGCCGTCAAATAGGGCACCAGCTGCTGGGAGAAATAAAAAGGAAGAAATATACATGATCAGAAATTAAAGAATGAGTTCGAGCTAATGTCAAGAAACTTTCACGAGTCACTAGAGTCTCAGAGATGCCGAAACAAGTCGTTAACATATTAACAGGAATGAATGACGAAGCATGTAGACCATAAGATTTCTCCTTTCATCAATCATGGATATCGAGGAACTACTGTGCAGCAGTATCATGTTCCATATAAGCCTAAACATTTAAGCTAGATTTTAAATTTAGTATATACGCTGATATTGAAATTTGTCATTTGTCCTATGCAAAAGTTATTAGTAACAGCAAGTACGTACCATTTAGTTCAGCTCATCAGCATTGGAGGTCTAGCTCTGACCTCAATTTCCGGAAACAACAAGACCACCTACATGAGACAATGCCAAAGCGTGCATCAGAAACTCAAATCTCATCTCAGAAAACTAATGAAGATAAGATATATTTGTTCGTACAACAAAAAGCTTTAATCTCTCCATCGTAAGCCCTGCAAAATTGAAGTTCACTTCAGAAATCCATCAATCAGATAAAACCAAGCAACAAATAATAGAATATGCAAACAGCAGTGGGATGCACGCTGGATTATTCATCTTCAGCCTGTATCGAGCTATGTCAAATAAGAATGCATTATCTTCACCCTTCAAACAAAGAAGTAGGAATAATCCAACAGTAGTAATTGACAAAATTACAGACAAATCCTTCGATTTCTAAAGGAATCAAAATAAGAATAAACTGTAAAAATAAACATGTAATTAATACAATTCTCCCGAAACATGCAAAATCAACAATAACAAACTCATATAGAAGTAAAGTAAAAATTATCACCAAATCTAGAGAAACAGAATCCTAACAAATGCAAGTCAACAAGTAAAAATAAAACAGCACCGCACAATAATGATCATGGCCCAGAGTTTGAACCAATAGGATGTGAAGAGAATACAGGTCCAGTTTAATAAGCAATTAAACATGCACCAGTAAAAATCCCATTTGGCGAATCAAACTATTTGTAAGAGCTAAATTGCATTAGAGAAGACTAGAAATATAGATTGTCCCTACATACGGGTAGGACACATCAGGTCCACCACTTAAGTTCTCACATAAAGTCCTATCATCAGAATTGTTCCATGAAAAAAAGAAAGAAGATTTCAAAGGATAGGATTAAGGTAAGCAATATAATGTCTCTGCATTTATGTATAACTCTAGCTCATGTCCATGCCGTCTCCAACTTGGCTGCAGATTGGACTGACAGCAGAGAAGGATCTCTCAAAAGGAGAAGGATGGAACTGTGCACTCCGTCTGCGCTTAAACGAACAACTATCGGTTGGGGGATTGTCCGCATCAAGCTTCCTCCGAATGCCTCTAACAGCCTGCTCCTCCACAGCTGTAAGTGGGAACACTTGGCCGCTGGCCCGGCAAAGCGAGCTATGGTTATCATACAAAATCCTCTGGTTACAGTTTTTGTCACAGATGTGAGTAAGACCAGTTAGATTGCAGCGGTACATGTTCCCACAGACATGTTCGTTTTTGCACTTCCAGTCGCATTTGTGAACAGGAACTGGCCCATCTCGGCCCAGAATCGTTGACAGGAAGATAACATTAGCAGGGCCTGCTGCCATGGATTTGCCACACGCCTCCATTGTTACTGCGAATCGACAAGTTCCAAATGTCAATTTATGAGATAATGCGCTGGGAGGGCTCTTGCCCTTAACGTTCTGCAGATAAATGGTCGAAATTCCACAGATTTTGGACCTCAATGTTGCTGTACAACTACAAACTACAAAATATGACAATCTTCTCTAAATTTAAAAAGGAATTTGCTTTGTAACTAAACATTCCCTGAACAGATTTTCACAAAAAGCTCTAACGATATCAAACCAGCAGGTCCAAACTGTTCCGATCCATCAATATGCACAATTTTGGTACTCTTATAACCTATTCAATTCTGTATTTTCCTTCATTTTCTTCCCTTGAGAATAACTCTTGCCAAATAATATGGTCGTGCTAGGCCAAAACAAAATATGGTCCTCACAAAGGCAAATGATTCTGAGAATTACATATAAAATAGGAATATAAAATTAAAAAAAAAAAAAAACTAATTTGAGAATCAAAATACCTCCAAACACCGTTTCTGCAACAGATCTGAACCGTAGATATCATTTACACTCGCGCCCCAAACTCATAATTACACGAACAGATTTGGAACATAATTAAACATCATATTTTCCGACGACAAAATTAAAAAAATAAAATAAAGTTTTAAACAACTGATTGCGAAAAGGAACAAAAAAAAGGTTAAGAAGCAGTTCAATTTAATAAATTCACATCACTATCAAACACATAGATAGAAATATCTCATGAAAGAAAAAAGCAAAAATTTGGAGAGAGAGAGAGAGAGAGAGGAGAGAGAAAGAACGAAATGACGCACCTGAGCTTTCACAGGTAGAAGAAAAAACCGCAGGAATTGAGCTTGCGAACCTCCTGAGTCCCGCCGATAGCCGACCGGCCACCACCTACCTCTCTCTCTCTCTCTCTAAAAGCCTCTCTCTTTCTCTCTCTCTATCCGCAATGCCTAATACCAACTAACAAAGAAAAAGCGTGGAAAGAAATGGGGGTTGGGTGCATGGTATTTATAGAAGAAATTGCTTCGTTTGGATCTAGTGGGAGTTGACGGCGAGACTGTGAAGTTGTTTTTACCATTTTAGACATCCTTTTCACTCCAAATTCCCACCCAATCACTACCTAATTTAATGCCATTGTCGCTTGTAACTTCGGGTAAATTGTGAATGAAAATTCTCTTTCATAGCGACATGACTTTTGTAAAGCGTACGGCAATTCTACCTGCTATATTGGATTTGGCTTATTTTTTAATTTTTTTAATTTTTTGTATTACTGTTATTTGGTAGGATATTTCTTAAATTTTTAACGAAATTTTTATGATGAAAAATTCTATTAATATTACTTAATTCTGAATCGTTAGTTCCCGTTAAAATGTATACAAAATTCCTTTAAAAAACCTATAAAAAGTTTATAAATTTTACGCATTTGATGAAAATTTAGAGTTCGTGTGCTTTTTTTTTTTTTTTTCGCTGAGTAGAGATCGTGTATTTGAACTGTAACATTTCTAATTGAAGAAAAATGGAAACATTAATAATTCAGAAACTCCACATATAGTATTTTTTTTTATTTTTTATTTTAAATGCAATAATGCATAAATTATTTTTATGTTATCTTAGTACAAAAGTTGTCCTTTCTTTAATTGATTGATTTATCCACAATAACAAATTATTTTATTTAAGTTATTGTCTTAAACACGCTTTTCTTAAAGCGAGTGAGACTCTGTTTTTATTTACTATCACGTGTCCCCACCCCAACGGTTCTTTCGCTTTCGATTCAAACGCTATCCATACTTTCTTCGTATCTAACGACTTTTAATCCCCATCCTCCACTCCTCACTCGCCACGTGGCACTCCTACCGTCGTCTGCACTCTTCTGCTCTTTCACGCCCGGCCCAAGGCCCAAATCATATTTTGGGCCACACATGGCCCGATCATTTCTCAATTATTTGGGCTTAGGGCTTCGTTATCTGCGAATCAGAGGAGAGAGAGAGAGAGGGAGTTCGTCGTGTTGAGAGGGAATGCCGGTGGGATCTCTTGATCCAGAACGATGATCGTCGTCGGAGTATCGGCAATTGGTTTGGTTGGGTAAAATCTCTGATCGAATTGAGAGCCATGGAGATTGAGGATTTGGGATCTCGATTTAAGGAAAATCCATTTGGATGATTTGAAAAGATCGGAACTTTCGTAAATCGCGATCTCGTTTCTTCACTTTAGGCCTTTTTCAAGCTCTGCAAGGTAATTTTTTTCATTCACAGATCTATCTATCAATAGATTTATATGTTGGCTGGACTTGCGTCGTGTTTGAGCTTCGAATATGGTCGATTTGTTCTTCTTTTTCTTTTTGTTTTCTTTTTCATTTTTTCTTTCTTTATTTATTTTCTGCTTCTTCTTTTTTTGTTTTTTTGTTTTGTTTTTGTTTTTGTTTTTGTTTTTGTTCTTGTCTCTCTATGTTTTACCTCAAAGAAGGAGAATGGAAAGAATTATTCTGCTGTTACGACTGTACAGAGAATAACGAAGGTCCCGTTTGGTCGGGGGATTGAGGGATTCAAATCCCCTGATTCAGGTTCAATCTGTGTTTGGGAAGGCAAAAATAAACAGTAAAAATTAGAATCAGATGAGTGATTAGGATCATTTTGGGGGCTGATTTTGAAATCAGGCCCCCCCTGATTCATCCGTTCCAAACCCCAGTGCACAGTAAAAACTACTGTGCACTTAATGCTCGCACCCAACTTCCAACAACCACTGGCATGCACTTCCTCTCCCATGCTTCAGCAGAGAATCTGCAGTCCTGTTCCTCTCGCGTGGGTGAACAGCCGAGATTCTTCTCTGGCTTTTTTCCATCTCTTTCTTCCAAACTCTTGCTTGTTGTTCGCAAGTTCCACATCCGTCGCCGTTGATGAGAAGTGGCCGGAGCAAAGGGGGTTTTGTCAACAATCAAAGAAAACTCCAGATTCGGTACCACTTTCACCGATACTACGGAAGCAAGGTCATTCCTCGCCTTCACCGGAGAGAGGACAGAAGGTCGGTGAGGACTCAGAAGAAACCATCCTCTGCGTTTGGAGTGTTGCCTCCGTTGTCCTTCATCTCATCGTCTGATTCGAACTCTGGAACGGTATGCTCTCCTCACCTTGTAAATTTTTCGATGGTTTCTGGATGTGACTTTGGTTTCTGGAGAGTGGATAGTGATTTCGGTTGTGAGTGATTTTGGTTGTGACTTTGGTTTCTGTGTTTGATTTGGTTGTAATTGTGGTTTGTGGAGATAGTGTTGGACTTGGTTGTGATTCCGGGTTCAATTTTTGGTTCAATTTTTGATTTGTTTCTGGCAACATTGCTTTGATAATCCTGATATTCTTTGGAATTTGGACGGGTGGGGATTGTTCTCTAACAAGAAACAATTACAGACTTTTCATGTTCTGATTATTGGTTTTAGTCTCAAAAACAAGAAGAGTTTAGAAGAGCCAATAATGTTTAAAGTCCCTGCCCTCACTGTAGGGTCTGTGATGCTGATCACAAATTACTCATTTGATAGTCAATACAGAACTATAATGTGTTGGTCTATTAGGAGCATTATCTTAAGAATCAGCAGCTGAAAGGTGAATACCACGGGTAGGAACAAAACACATGTAGGTCAGCCTTTGGCCAAGAGGAAACAATTAAGGTAACCCAGAAAAGAAAAATGACAGAGCAATTCACTAGGAAGGTTTAAAGGAACTACCATGGCCATAATAACATGTTACATGTATCCTAATAATTTGAACAAGTCAACAACAATAATAACAGACACAAATTAAGAACATAAATGTGAATTCTGGTTGTTATCAAATTTACTGCTGGGTATCTAGACTTTCCTACTAGGGTATTTTGTGCCTGGAACTACTCCTCTCTATGACTTTTCAACAAAATAGGGCAGAAATTTCAATGATCCCTTTGGATTTCTTTTAATACAATGCACTAACTGTCAATAACTATCTTGCTCTCCTATATGTTCATATAGTAAGAAAACATCAAGGTGTGGTTATAGAAAAATAGTTGGACAAGTGTATTGAAAAGTTGCTTTTTTAATGGGCACAAAATGATTTTCCAGCTTAACACGTGAAAAAGAAATGTAAAAATCTGATCATTGTAAAACAGAGAGCTGTAAGAAGAAAATATAAAGGAAATGCAACAATTAATACAAGTTTTGCTTTCTGGAGATAGTGTTTGTGACTAGTATCATTTTCTTTTGATCAAGTGCTGTTCAAAGAGATGGATATTGGTATGAATGAGATTCTTCAAAAATGTGAAGAGGCTATTAATTCAGTTCGGAAGAAGAAATTAGTCAGTTAAGATTGTTATGATACTTCTATTAAGTTATTATAGACGTCATTATACAATTGGTTGTGACAACTTATGAAGTTAGTCTATTCACCCAGGAAAGTGGAAATCGTTGACCCAATTGTATATGAGATAGCTTATTTGAGTTACATTTTTGTTGTCTGCTTTATAGCGCCTTTCGACATCGGTATCAATGGTGAGCAAAGGTGTTCTCAAAGAGAATCTCGTCCTCTTGGCAAACAGTATGACATATGCTGGAAATTTGATTGGCTTCAATTCTGGTGGTTATAAGGCGCTAACTCGGTCATTGAATGTTCAAGTTCCATTTATTGAAGCTACACTAATTGTAAGAAATTGGAATTTTGTCTAATTTATTGAAGGAATAATAATAATTGGAATTTTGTGTTCAAGTTCCGTGGGAGACAAGTTTGATATATACTTGGCTTGTTATATAATTTTATTCAAATTTTTTTTTTATCTATTTCTCACTTAAGCTTGTTATAATTTTGACTTATAATTATTTGCATAATTTTTTTCTAGTACTTCATTTTTTTAATTATATAACGAATTATATTTTTTTTTAAATTATACGTAACGAATTATATTTATTATATAATTTTTTAAATTATATTATTTTGGTCATGATTCAAATTCAGAAAACAAGATAACCAAACACTGGTTTGAATCACATTTCAGGTTAGAATCAGAATCATGTATATACACATCCAAACGAAGGTTCTAATCACTTTGAATCATAATTCAAATAAAAAAGACTCAAATCACCTTGATTTCAATCCTTATACCAAACGAACCTGAATTGTGGTGTTGTGATTCAAGTATGAGCATCAGCAGCAGCTGAAGAAACTAGTCTATTATTATTTTTTCTTTTTTGATTTTTTTTAACCCTAGATTATCAACAAAAAGTTATTACATATGTATTACTTAATATATGCTTCTGGTTGTAATATCTATTTGTAATCTCTAGTTCGAGTTATGATCTAGTTTATATGCTTATGTTTGAGCGGCTCATTTGATGATTATGTTATTTTGTGGTTTTTTTCAAATTGGGTAACTTTCAGGTCAAAAGTAATTATTAAGGTATTGTTCAGTTCGCAAATTTAATTTTTTAATTTGAGTTGAGATGTAATTTTATGTAAAATTTTTTTTACTATAATAGAAAAAACTAAATATGACTTTTTATAAAAAATTTTAACTATAGTAAAACTAAAATTAAAAACTCGAATTAATAAAATGAACACGACTTAGAGGTTTTTCCTCAATCATAAGTAAGAGGTTTTTCCTCAATCATAAGTAAGAGGTCTTTACCTTTTGTTTTTTGTTTTTTGTTTTTTGTTTTTTTTTTTGTGTTTTTGAGATATTTACATATTTATATATTATATATTAAGTTTATTCAAAATTTTTACTTTTTTAATTTTTAATCTTATTAAATATATACATTTATATTTGATTTAATATACAAATCTAGTTTTTATTTCGGTCAATAATTAACTTTGATCTTTAAAATAATTAAACTATCCTTAAAAATAGAGAGAAAATATAACTAAAACTTTTTAACATTACAAAAACTAAAAATTAAAAACGCAAAAAACCAGTTATAATGATATTTTGGATATTTTTAAGGTTAAAACGGTAAGTTTAAAGTTTTTTTTTTTTAGTTTTTTTCTTTTTCCATTTTTATTTAAGGGCACTTTAAGTAATTTATACTTAAAATTGAAGATTAACTGTGAAAATGTATAAATTTAAGTATTAAAATTAATTTAAAGGTATATATTTAGTGAGATTAAAAGTTGAAGATATAGTTTTTAAATAAACTTAAAACAAAGAGTATAAAAATGTAAATATATATGTATATATATATATATATATTTTTTTTTTTTAAATCTGAGTAAGAGGTCTTTGCTTAGTTTGTCCTGTCTTCGACCATATACACTAGTGCTAATGTTACGGGATATGAGCAAGTAATGTTGTGTATCACCATGATGATCATGATCTATCACTACTATTTTTTAATCAATCATAGGTTCATTTCATATGTCAATTATACGCTTTACTTGATTATGACATTTGGTCTCTCGCCTTACCGAGATAACCGTATTTTTCAAAGAGCATCACGGGATTGAATGAGGTTTCGTACTTAGTGAGACTCACTAAATTAGGGCCGTTCTTTGTGAGAGAACCGGGACTCATCCTGTCGGGTTAAGTCACATTTTCCTCTTTCAAATGCTTGCTATTCCTTTGGAAGGTACTGAATAAATTGTCAATGACACTTTTTTTTTTTTTTTTTTTTTTTCAACTGAAGTTGGTTTGCTTATCTCCGCAAATTATGTATAAAAATCGCTTCGCATCACATGGAAGGGATTATAACTCGAAAGAAAATGTATAAATATGCAAGGGTTTCTCTTTGCCTTGCAAGACAGTTTTAACACAAAATGATGACTTCGTAATTGCAATTTTTGCCGCTAGAGAGGGGTAGCTATTAGCTAATAGCCAAATCGTTCACCTTCATGCACTCTTGAATTAGAAAACTGAAATCAAGGGAAAAAAAATCGTATATATGCCTTTTATACTCCTTTAACCAAATTTGAAAATGTAGGACAAAAACGAGAACTTTTTTTTTTTAAGGGTTATGGCATATGTGCTCTTTCGAGTAGACAAGGCTTTTGTGCAAAGTAACATCAACTTAAGTTAGGGGTGTGTAAACTAATCAAACCGTTTATTTTAAACGAAGTGCAAACTAAATCAATTACAAATTGATTTAGAGATTTTCAAATCAAATCAAACCAATTAAGGGATCTAATTCAATCCAAACCAAGTGATTTGGTTTGGTTTTTCTAATTGATTTGAATTAATATTTTACAATTTCTTCTCAAGTTTCAACCATAACTGATACTAAATTTTGTGTGCTTTTTTATCTCTTTCTCTCTTTCTTTTGAAGACAAAATGAAGTCAAAGCAATTAAATTATAGATATATTTACAATAATATTAGTTGCAACTCATAATTGAATATGATATTAAGTTTTTTTAAATATATGAAAAAAAAAACGAATATAGGCAAATTAGAGATGCTTATTATTATAGAGGCTACATTAACGTTAATAAAGAGGTAATGCTTTAGAGAGAATCGCGAGTAGAACATAGAGGAGTAGAGAATGAGAGGAGAGGAGCAGAAAGAGCTTGAGGGTAGACCGCGAAGATAGTGTTAGTTTCGTATATATGGTTGTGATAGAAACTTTTAGGGTTATGATCATTTAATTTTGAAATATATATAATTTTAAGAAAATTATATAGACAGAAATTGGTTTGATTTTTTTAACGGTAAAACCCCAAACCAAACTAATTTAATTGGTTTTTAAAAAAATTTAAACCAAACCAAATCGATTATTAATTAGTTTAGTTTGATTTTCTTTTAATTTGATTTGGTTTGAATAGTTTGTTGCACACCCCTAACTTAAGCACAAACCTTACTTGAAATATTATTTTGTGAAAACCCAACAATATAATAGCATCTAAATGCATCAACCTTCACTTCAAAAATAAAAAAAATGTGATAATAAAATAAAATAAATAAATGCATCAACTTTGTGGAAAACTGACTAATGAGTTTTATCATAATCTATTTCTTCTCAATTTGACAGCCGTTTGTCCATAAAAACCTTGAGAACACGCGGATTATGATTTGTCTAGTGCATGAAATGTGAAAAACATTCAAAACGAACATGTGAGGAAAACTCCATAAATTCTTCATTTGCACATAAACAATTATACGGAAGTCCCACCTCAAATTGTTAAGTATGTCTTACATCGATTAGCAAAAAAAAAAAAAAAAAGTTACGTCACATGGAATGAGAAAGTATTGGTACCTGGGATCTTTAATCCCACTACAAAATTGATAAGGATTTATTTCTATTTTATTTGTTATTAATTACATTCCATAGTGGGAGGCATGAGCCATCAAAGCAGAATCCATCTCCAATATATACACAAATTATTTGCTTTAATACTTATCCACAAAAACAAAAATCTCATTTCTCTACTAATTAAACATATTGATATACTCAGCAAAGATTCTCCCCCCCCCAACCCCAACCAAACGAAAAAAAAAAAAAAAAAAAAAAAAGCAAAAGGCCAAAAAGTATCATGGGTGTTGGGTGAGAGAGTTCAGTGCCTCTTCCACGTATGAATCCCATTTGTGATTCTAATTACATATTCTAATATATATATATATATATATTTTCCCTTATATAATATGCGCACCTATAAGCCAAGTGTGCTTGCTTTGCATTTAAACCACAAGCCTTGTTTAGTTCATTTTCTCTCTGTCGTTCAGAAAACACACGCGTATCAAACTTGGTTTTTCTCCGTCTTTCTCGCTCTGTTTCTAACCTCTTTGACGAACGAGAGATCAAACCAAGAAGGAAAGAAGAAAATATATACAAAAAGAAATGGAGCAAAAGCTTATTGATTTCATGTTAGTCCCACTGGGGCTCCTGGCTATGGCGGCTTACCATATCTGGCTCTTCTACCGAATCTTGAAGCACCCCACAAAGACTGTCATCGGTGTCAACGCCATCAATCGCCGTTTCTGGGTCCGTGCTATGATGGAGGTGAAAGAAAAATAATAACCTATGTATTACCACGTAGCTTTGAAAATTCAAATCTTTATAATTCGGTGTTTTCATTAAGATAAGGCTCTTGACATGATCCAACGTTGAAATCAATCAAGACCATTTCCATTTTGATAGATTTTTTTGTGTCGTTTGTCTTACAAATTCACTTAGGCACGCAAAACCTTTAACTTTTGTCATACGTTCATACTTGTAATTTGTTTGTTTTGTTTACATAGGACGTGTCGAAAAACGGAGTTCTGTCCGTACAGACGCTGAGAAACAACATAATGGCGTCGACCCTTTTAGCCTCGACGGCCATCATGCTCAGCTCTCTCATCGCCGTGCTGATGACGAGCGGAAGCAAAGACAATTCGGCCTTTTTCGTGCTCGGGAACGGAACCGACACGAGCTTTTCGATCAAGTACTTCTGCATATTGGCGTGTTTCTTGGTGGCCTTCCTTCTTAACGTTCAGTCCATAAGGTACTACAGCCACGCCAGCATTCTCATCAACGTGCCTTTCAAGAAGATGTCCCAAGATATCCACCACCACCAACGAACGGTCGAATATGTTGCTACGAATGTTAACAAAGGGAGCTATTTCTGGTCTCTTGGCCTTAGAGCTTTCTACTTCTCTTCCCCTTTGTTTCTCTGGATCTTTGGGCCAATTCCCATGTTTGTTGCTTGCCTTGTCTTGGTTTTCTTGCTCTATTTCTTGGATGTTACCTTTGAGTGTGGGTGGGTGGTTGATGTTTCCGATGATGAGAGCCCAAAAGATGAGGAACTTGGGGGACAAAACTGATGATGTTTTATGGTCAGTCAATTTCTTGGGGCTCTCGGTGGAATGAATAGCATTTAATATAAGAAAAGCATAGGCATTAATGACAAGCAATTCACATTTCAATCCAAGTTGAATAGAATTGCTTTTTTACTTGTCTTACATTAGCCATCTTTTAAATACAATAAAAGAATTGTCTTTGACTATAGTGGGTGTGCTCTAATGCCCCTTTAAAATGGTTTTGTAAATTTTGCATGCCTCTGTCGTGTACTCTGTGTGTGTGTGTGTATTTATATTTTATATATGTATTGCTTGCACCACAAGTTAGTTCCACTGAGACGGAAAAAAAAAAAGCTCGCTTTTGGCAGCTTTCGTGCTAGTTTCCATCATCTGGTGGAGCAAATTCATTCGATTCAGAATAATAAAATATTAATATTTCTTTGTTTAATGACAACAGAGATAAAAGAAGTCATATACATATTCCATCTGATGAGTCACGCTCATACCCAAGTCATCTTTGAGGTTTTTTAGCGGCACAAAAGTACTAAGCAAGCACTAAAGACGTTCTCCAGCTATTTTCAGCCTCAATATAATATTTTAAATTGTAAAAGTCTTTGCTCAAGAGACGAGATCAGTTTTGGCTTGCAGGTGGATGAGAAAGTGGAAAAGAAAAAAAAAAAAAAAAAAACCTGAGAGATGTTAACACTCCTCAAAATGGGTATTTTTCCCGGGGGAAATGTGAAAAAAAAAAAAAAAAAAAAAAAAAAAAAAGAAAATAACAGGTGCCCACCAAGGACAAAATATACATTTTTATTCCAGACCTCCACTAAAAATGTTGGTTGTTTTTTCCATTTTCTTCAGCAACTTTCTGTTCAAAAACCAAGTTTCTGATTCATGTCGTAATCGTTAATCTTATCCCCACAGTTTACACATGCTTTACAAGACAGTTAACAACGTCTAAACTCATTGTTAATAATTTGATAATTTAGATAAAGGAATGAGATGACACGCCATCTAAACTGCCTGTCGATGTGAACATGCATTTACATATGCACATATCAGAGCCGCTTACGTCTCAATATCACTCGGTTTCAATTTCAACTTCATACTACCAGCTTGAACTAAAAGTTCTTTAAATTGATCAACTCTTAGAACTGTTCCTTTCTTTCGGAGGGAAGTAATATATACCATATCACCAACCTTGGGGGGCTTGTATTTTCCTGAAAGGTAAAACAGTTTTAACAAAATGTATTAAATATAGCCCTTCAAAAATCGCTACAAGATTAAGACAAAATAACTACCGCGGACACTGGAAATAGCCGTTAGAATTTCCACCATCAAATATTATACAAGTTTGTTTATTTATTTATTTTTATCCCAGTTGGCAGAATATCTCATGGAACCTTGGTGATTACCTGATGGTGATTGCTTGGCATCTTCAGCGACAGAGGGTGAATTGCTATATGCTTTTGGAGATTCATCAGAAGGGGTGTTCTGGGAGCTGGTTGCTGTTTCGTGGTTGCTTTTATGATCAGCTTTAGCTGTCTGTAAGTTCAAGGGTCGAATTGCCGACTCACGACGTTCTCGCACTTTCCAGTGAAGGATAGAACGTGACCTTGAAGCAGCCTCAGATATGACACGCATCTTCCAGGACCTTTGTTCAGCGGCATGTTTCATGATTTTTGTTCTCACGACCAAAAGTTTTTCATGAAGATCCCTCGAGAGCCTATGATCACAAACATAGCAGAAAAGTGAGCACTTCAAAGAGCATAAAGTTGTGTTTATAGTGGGGTGCTTACACGTCACAGCATCACTTTAGTTTTACCCGTAGTTCCAAAAGAATTAGAAAAGGACTCACATTAGATGATGCTGCGATTCCTCTAAAAGCTCTTGATATTCTTGTTTTAACCTTTCCATATCAAGTATGATCTGCGTTTAAATGTAGAAACTGAAAGTCAAGGCATCTATATGCATGAGCTTTCAATACAAGTAATCTGCTGTCTTGTAAATCCCTCCACGAATTGGAGCCATTTAAACAAAAACACAAAGGAAGGAAGGGAAAAAAAAAACGAGGAACAACCAATCAAATACTATGCTACAAGCTCATATTCCAAAAGGAAAAAAAAAATAGAAATAAGTGTCGTACGAATCAGAGTGATACCTCGTCTATCTCTGCACTAGCCACACCATACAGTTCACGAGCCTTTTCCACCACTATGCTTGGAAGTCCTAACCTTTCAGCTATGTTGATTGCATTTGAACGCCCTACAATATGAAATTTACTTGTTGAGATGTGAGCCATAATATAAACAAAATGTTACATATTTATATCCAGAGGCACGTTAAAAAAATTCAGTTGTCTGAACGAAAACCTGGTACTCCCCAGAGAATCTTGTAAGTTGGCTTAAGGTTCACTTCATCAAACTCCATACATGCATTTTCAAAGGCGTCATTACTGTCAAAGAACAATCTCAAAAACATGATCCAAGATTCTTTAGCAGACAACAAACAGTCTTCGAGTTTTATATGAAATTTTTAGATGCTGAGAGAAAAATAATGGGTCCCACTTGAATTCCAAAATTGACCTACTAAGTGCATGAATCAGAAATGACAATTTCTTAATTGGACGACCCGCGAAAACATTCCAGCTTCGAGCTTTCAGCTAACCTGTATTTCAGGGTTTTAAGTTCCCCATGATGTGTCGTAGCTATAGTCAGCAGACAACCAGTTTCAGCAAAAGATTCCAACAGTGACATTCCTAATGCTGCTCCTTCTAGGGGATTTGTTCCAGCACCAACCTAATGTATTGTACAGAAATTGGGATTACATGGTAGGAAAGATGTATTCCCACTAGAGATAAGGTTATACTTGTTCTTCAAATGGTCCGGTTTAACAATACCTCATCTAGTAGTACTAGTGACTGACTAGTTGAGTGTGATTGAATGTCCTGCAAGATGTTACAGATAGATTCAAGGAGTATTCATCTCTTTAAAAGAACATGTCATGATTATTGTAACAAAATATGGATTCCTAAATAAGCTCAAAAAGGGTCAGGAATCCCTTACACTTATTTGTTTCAAGTGGCCGGAGAAGGTTGACAAAGATTGGGACAAGGATTGTTCATCACCAATGTCAGCAAGAACAGAATCAAAACAAGGAATTTGTACTGATTCAGAAGATAAAACATAAAGGCCTGCAAAGTTTAATAAACGATCAAGAGTGTATAATAGCATAAAGCCATAAACCAAGAGATTTATAATTTTGTTAAACATGACCTATATGACAGTAAAAATCCAGATGAAAGCCTCATAAGAGAAAAATATACTAGAACATCATGAATGAGTCATCCTCAGATTTATTCTGAATTGCATGGGAAACAAGAAGAAAGAAACGTAAAATAAAACGGAAATATAGGAACCTGATTTTGCCATCAGAGAAGCCAATCCTATTGTCTTTAAGCAAATAGTTTTACCACCAGTATTAGGACCAGTTATAACCAAAACTCGAGTTTTTTCTGCTATAAAACAATCAACTGGAACTGGACGTGCTTGTTCGAGCGCCGCAACCTTAACATGAGAACAGAACATTTGTTACAACTTTGTTAAAACATACATTCATTAAATTTTGACGTGCACAATAACCAATAAATATATTAAGCAACGTTCATTCTTAAGGAGGATGTAACCTTATCTTTTTCTCTTCTCACTGGCATATTTATGTAGAACAAAAGAAATATTGCTAGGGGGCCACATTCATAATTGAGAAGGACAATTGCTACAAACGATCATCTAAATGAAATCCTTTCAGAAGAGTTAGATGCTAAGTTCTAACGTTAACGATAAACCAACTTGATGGTTTTTTTACCACATGATCATAAAGACAAGGATTTAAGAGGAGAAAGAAAGAGAAAGATACAGAACCAGTAGTTTGGGTCTTGTATATCATACCGCAGAAGCATTTTTGGAATCCTTCTTGGCTTTCCGTAAATTTTGCCTATGCTGCTGGAGTAGCAAAGGATGATAAGCTTTTGGCATATACAACACCCATTCCCTCTTACTGGGTAACGATGTGTTCGAAACATTGTTTTCTGACAAATAGATAGAAGCAGTAACATTGTCGTTTCCTTTTGGCAGAAATATACTGGGGCACGAACCTCCATATGAAAGACCATAAGTTGCCCGGGCATTGACCTAAGTTTTAAAAATAAAAAATTTAAGCAAAGGACAAGTGACCAACTCAATAATAAAATAGTGTTTATGTACAAATTCCAACAAGTAGTAAAACACAGCATGAACAAATCACGGCTCAACTTATTGAGGTCAGAATAACTCTTTTTTGTGTTTCTCTTTACAGCTTTGGAGTAAGAAAGCCAATCCCATAACAACGCAAGATATTAAGGATCATGGTTCTTGCAAGTTCTAACAAGGAAAGAAAGCGATGGACGGAATAAATGAAGGTCTACACTGTGACAGTCACCTACCACATCCAGTTGGATGATACTGTGCAATAGCATCTCGATATCATCAAGATCCTTTTGCATCTGAGAAAGAAATAAATAAATGCATATGAGTGAAAGGATTATATTTTCCAACTAAAAGTAACATCATCATGTAAGCTAGGGACCTTTGATGTTAGCATTGAGAGTGCATCTGCCTCGGCTTTAGCCACTGATGCCCTGGCTTGTTGCAACTCATCATTTAAAGAAACAGCAGAGAGTGGCTCTACAATGCTTCCAACGCCTGAATTACTATGGCAATATATTATCTCTCAGGAAGAAATACTCAAGAACTGAGCTCTTCATCAAGTAAAGACATCTTGGAGTAGAGAGTAGCTAACAACTAAATGAGTTTGTCATTATTGTTACTATTTTCATAGGCCAAAAAAAAAAAAAACACATATGCTTAATTTAGATTTATCTGTTAATGATTCTATTATGTACTAACTGTTTCCACGTAGCAACACAAGAGATACCATAACAAACTAACTTGGGTATTTTTGGTACGATCTTTTTAATAACAGAGAAATAAATCTTAAGCTTTACAGAGAGACAGAGTTACACATGTTGACTAAAAACTCCAATTAATTGTAGAGTTATCTTTGGAAGTCATGCAACAAATTTTACAGACCTGGACAATAAAAGACCATTAAAACTTGTCTGTTGATAGGCACTTGATTTTATGCACCACCTGCCATCAATGTTACACACTTCCTGAACCAATAATGATAAAGTATTAGGCAATTAATCTTTAAGGTTCAAGTGAAAGCTACGTGATCATATGCTTCTTACCATTAAGGATGTATCATTCTTTGTGTTTCTAATTAGGCTGTCCAGCAGCTGATACACCTGAACAGAGAAAGCAATTGGACAAATGAATAAAATAACCACTAAAAACCGAGAAGAAGATAAACCAACAGGACAGCTAAGGTTTAGAAAAAAAAAAAGAAAAAAAAGGATAAAAAAAGATTAAAAAAATGTTAATTATGGACTCATTTTATATATTTTGTGACTATGATGCTCCTATCAATGAGAAGCAAAAGGAACTATGAAACAAAAGAAAGAGCTACTACCTTTCTCTCCAGTGTCCGTACTTGTTCACGGGCTCTCTTTACGTTAGAACTCTAAAACAGGGCAAAAATTTGGATGTTACACGAATACAGGCAAAGTGGGATAATCATTTCAACATAGCACAAAACAAATGATGCTTAATTGGAATCAGCCAGAAAAACAGTCGTTTATCAGCACAGACTAGTGAACATTAGAAACAACACAGTTAAATGAGAAAGATGCATAGTTTGTTCATGGGAAAGAAAGTTAACGGTTAAATACAGCAAAAAGCATTACACTTCAAAAGGCAGTCAGTAACAAACCGCAGAGTCTTTAACAGAGCCATCTTCATCAACAACTTGCTGTATCAACTTAACTAATGACCGATTTACCACGAACCCCAGTATCTGCACAGAAAGTTTAAGCAATCAAGGCCTAAAAAACATTCAATAGTACAATAATTCCCGGCACTTGGCTGAAATCTAAACAGTGTATTATCGTCCTCACCACTTCTGTCAGAGGCATGAAACATCTGTACCAATCCGCATCTTCCTTGAGTGCGGCTTTCAAGCTAACTTGCAGAGCATCAGCATACTTTAGGAGAGACACAACAGCAATTGCTTCACTCCCCTCAACCGGTGAAGTCCTCCGAGCATGCCGGATAGCAGATTGCACCTTCGGAGACAAAACATCAAACAATTAGAAGGCAATGAAACAAACATACAAATTCATAAATATTACAGCAGATTGCACCTTCAGAAAGAAAACACCAAACAGTTGGAGAACAAAAAATTGCCCATTAAGCATACTCATTCACAATGATTAAATTAAGGATTTTGGACGAACCAGAAGGACATCAACGCCGGTGAAATCCAAGGAACAACCACCGTGCTTGATAATCTCGACAGCAGCATTGGTCTCGTCCAAAAGCCTCAGACTTTCCTCGTAATTCTGATCCAAAGACCAGAGTTGCTCCTATTTCACCATCAACAACAAATTCAAAAACTCAAAATTCAAAAAAAGAACTTAAATTGTTGAGAGAAATAATTAATTGGAGATAAGTTGGGTGCCTTGGTGGCTTGGCGGCCGAGGGAAGTGCGGGCGAAGGAGGCGACGGAGTCGCAGAGCTTGTCCCATTCCAAGACTCTGAGAGTATGGTAGTGAACCGACGGCTTGTTCCGGTCGGAAAACGACGGCGACAAGTTCGCGACGAAAGAAGCTCTACGCTTGAAGCTGAGTCCGATGGAAACACGCCTGTTAATGGTGGGAGCGAAGGATATGGAAATGGAGATGGAGATGGGATTGACAAAGGTAGGAGATAAGAGCATTTCTTCTGTGTTCAAATATGGCGGGGATTCATCTGCTCGAACAGGACAGGGCCAAAAACTGAGTGGCTTTTGAAGGCTGGAAAAACAGAGGTAAATCATGATTGGATAAGAAAGTTGTCAAATAAAAAATGCAAGGGCATGAAATGAAATGAAAGGCTTATTTGCATGGATGTCCCTTGGCAACTTAAATCTGGATTTAAAATTAATATTTATTTATAATAATTTTGAATTATAATTTAAAATTAGTATTTAGTTTGAATAATTTGAAATTTGATATGATATGGATGTCCTTGGCAACTTAAATCTGGATTTAAAATCATGATTTAAAATTAATATTTATTTATAATAATTTTGAATTATAATTTAAAATTAGTATTTAGTTTGAATAATTTGAAATTTGATATGATATTTTAAATAAGAATCACTCATAATTTTTAAACTACCTCCTCTTGATTCAAGGTGATTCAAACTTCTGATTCAGAATCATAGTTTCAGAATCATGATTTGAACCTAAAATTATGAATCATATTTCTAGTTCAAGAATCATGATTAAAATCACTCTGATTTGAATCTTCGTACCAAACGAACCCTTAATTTCATTTTTAAAATTCAAAATAGCAAGTCCAATTAAAAATGAAGTTAAATTTTCTTGTATCTTAGTGATACATGATGATGGTCTCGTTCATTTTACCGATTCGGGTTTTATTACAATAAAATGCTATCAGAAATAGTCACATTTAACTTTTTTATTACAGTAAAAATCTCTCATATAAAGTCACATCTTATCTGAAATTAAAAACTTAAATCAGCAAACTAAACGGAAGACTAATAAATCTTTTTATTTTTTATTTTTTGAGTTCGAACTTCGAATTGATTCTCTTTCTAAGAGTGGGTTTTGTTCAAATGAACTTTTATAAAAGTGAATTCTCATTATCTATAGATACTATTTGTGAAATTCATATTGAAATTTTGGAAACACCAATCGTGTTATAGTACTATACGCTAATAAAAAGTAAGTTTTAAGGTACGAATCTTATAAAGTATACTTTTTTTTTAGATGTGGTATACATCGCCGGTGATGCTCTCAAATATTTTCGGTTCACAGGACACGTTCCTATTTTTGTCCCGCCGTTATTGCATTTTTGAAGAAAAAAATGAAGGGAAAAGTGTCACGGGCAACTTTGTCAGTAAAATTTTTCGTAACAACTTGCTAAAAGAAATAGACTGCTCGATAAAGCATTAAAAAAACTGATTGATGAAATGTCGGGTACCATTTAACGTATTGCGTTATTATCTGAAATGCTAAGAATAATCCACGTAGTTACCCTTCCTTTTGCTTGAAAGAGTTGACCATTAAAGGAATTAACTTCTTAATAGAGAGATTTACCATCTTTTCAATGACACCTCGAATTGTGAAAAAATGATGGGAAGGACTAGAAGTGACGAAGCAACATTTTGTCTAAATTACATACTCATATAAACGAAAAGAAAAAAATGATCTTGCATAGTTCCAAAAATTCAAAGACAAACAAGACAACACAAAATAACCGTTTGCAAATGCATCCCTCAAGCACATTATGGCTCTATGATCTTCTCATCATTCTTTCTTTCCCATTTTGCTGAATACAATTAATTAGAAATATCATCACATGAGTGACAAGAGGGGCATCACTTTTGTCCTCCTAGGCTGGAGCCGCGTCTGAATCCTCGGTCTTATTCGCCTCAACTTGCCCTTCTTTAGGTGTCTCTTGTGTCTCATCAACAGCCTCAACCTTAACCTTGTCTTCCTCTGTTGTCTCAGGGGAGGCTTCAGGTTTCTCCTCCTCTTCAGGCTTGGCAGTCACATCTTCAGCAGCTTCCGCAGACACAACTTCAACATCAGCAGCCTTGGTTTCAGTTGTGTTCTCGCCCTCCTCTTTCGGCTCGGAGACGTCCACCAACGGTGCTTCATTCTTACTCTCCTGCATTCAGAAAGCCATGAAAAACAAGAGTCATGTCCCAATGGAGCCAAAAGAAAAGTTTTAGTGGGGTACATAATATGAAAAACATAAAGAGGGACAGAGAAATGGTGTTTTAAGATATGAATAGATTCACCATTAAAATTTTTAAAATTTCAGTTACGTCCTAATTGTTACATAATGATAATTTAAATAGGGATAGAGAGTGCAATTACGAGGATTTAAACTCATGATCTCTCTCTAATATCATGTTAATTTATTAATCAATCCCAAAAGCTTAAGCTGTTAGAATGTTGACTAACAATAGTTTAATACTTTAATACTAACTTCAGAAGAAAAATTATAATTGTATCCCTACTTAATAATTATAATACTCTCATTTTAATAGTTATAATACTCCCATTGAAAAAAATTCCAATAATTTAATACTTTAACATTAACTTCAGAAAAAAATTATAATTGTATCCCTATTGAATAATTATAATACTCTCATTTTAATAATTATAATATTCCCATTGAAAAAGATTCCTGACTCGCGATTGGAGGCACATGTCCCCATTGGGTTGAATGTGGATTGTGGCTCCGAAGCTGTAAAAATGAGAAGAAAAGAAAGAGGAAAGAAAATAGCGGTTTTGAAGATAGATACTTGAGCAACAGACTCTTGTGCCTCAGCCTTCTTGGGGCTGGCAGGAGCCTCACTGGGGACGGAATCGCGGTGGACGTCCAACTCCTTGGGCTTGCTCGCACAGCCTCCCATTATCGATGAGCAATTTGTTGGGATGATTGGGCGAGTCTTGGAGGTTAAGGTAAAGGCTCGGTTTTGTCTCGTGCTATGAAATGGAGAATGAGGGCAGAGATTTTGAGGCAGAAGGAAAGAGGGAAGGAAATGTGGGTAATATAGGCTGAGCCGATTCTGATATTTAGGAGGAAGTTGCTGGTCTTAAAGAGGTCATCAGCCTGGCGTGTTTGGTTTTTGTGGTCAAATGAATCTGCAGTGCTAAGCTTCTTACTTAATATGGACATGGAAGAGTTTTGTGTGGCGAAATTCATGGTGGTGAATACAGGGGGGGGAAGAGTTAGTTACGACAGTTAGTTTCTTAGGGACTTGTGTGGTTGGCAGTGGCTTATTTCTACCATCTGTCTTCAAGTGCAAAAACCAAGCCACATTTGCGATTTCCAAGTCCTCATTCAACCAATAATAATCAAACCTAATTTCGCTGGATTATGGGATTAAATATTCATCAAGATGTGGTAGAACATTTCTTTATGTGACAATTCTACACAAGGATATGAAAAAAAAAATACCTTATTGATAAGGATCTACCATTTTTTGTTTTTCATTTTGATGGAATTTGACAAGATCTCTAACATTTGAAAACATCTACCATCTTCATTAAAAAAAAAAAAAAAAAACCATGTACTATGGATAGGGTATTCCTACTGTAAAAAAAGAAAAAACTCGTACTTTAAAAATGTAAGAATCAAGCATAACAATCCATTACAATTTTTTTATAACCTCAAAACTTTGTATTTTAAAAAAATTAATAATCAAGAAACCTATATAGGAGTAGGGGAAAAAAAAAAGAACCTATATCTGTAGGAGCTTAGTAAAAAAAATGAAAAAAGAAAAAAAAAATACTTAAGAGGGGTCGAAATGAAAAATGATTTTTTAGCCGGAAAGAAATGAAAGAAAAATGAAAGTTGGTCACCAAAGAAAGGTCGCAAGTGGGCCCCAAAGAACAGCTAAAGCCAACAACAGCGCAACTTCCAATGCGGCAATCTGAAAGCGGGAAACCCAAAGACGGAGTCATCTCACCCGTTACGCGACTCATCATCAACTCTTTTGATTGATTTCCCATCCAATTCCTTTCCTTTTTTTCCCCAATTCCAGAAACCCTAGAATCTCTCCATCCCCAATTTCGCGAGCTTTCTTTCATTCTCTGATCGAAAGCTCGCATCTTTTTGAAGCCATGGACCGCCAATTCAAATTATTCAATTCCAATCCTCCCTTGTCTCTCCTCCAAACCTTCGTCCTCTTCACCACCCTCCTCTTCCTTTCCTCCTTCCCCGCCGTCCGATCCGACGAGCAATTCTCCGCCATCCGATTGCCCTCCGACGCCGACACGGGCGCCGATCCATGCGGAAAGTCGTTGGAGCGCCCGCCGTCATGTCCTGTGAAATGCTTCCGAACCGACCCGGTCTGCGGCGTCGACGGCGTCACCTACTGGTGCGGCTGCGCCGATGCCCGGTGTGCCGGCACCAAGGTCTCCAAATTAGGTTTTTGTGAGGTCGGAAATGGCGGTTCTGCGCCTCTCTCCGCTCAGGCTCTGCTTTTGGTGCATATTGTTTGGCTCATCGTCCTCGGATTTTCCGTCTTGTTCGGACTTTTCTGATTGAATTTGTTTCCGGGCCAGATTTCTTTGATTCATGGTACGAGGTTGGTTGTAGTTTTCTCTTGAAATTCTTTGCCGTTGTATCATTGTAGTGAGAGGATCAGAGATTTGTGTATCGATTTGTATATGCGCGGAGTTTTCGATGTACTTATGTAATCTTCTTGTAGATTCCAAATTCTTTTGGTGTAAACATTCTATTGAAATTTGATTATTGACATTCAGATGATTGATGGTTCACAGAAAATTTTTACTTGTTTTAGTTTTATATGCAATGCTCAAACACTCGGAAAGATGAACCAAATGAGGAGCATTTAATTGGTTGAATTTGAATGCAATAAAGCTATGACTTTTCAGCTAAGATCGCAAGTAGGAAGGAAAAAGATAAGAGGATCTTGACATTTTTGCAAGATAAGGCTTTCTCATTTGTTATTTTGTTGATCGAAAATGGGGTCTTTGTTTAGATTTCTTTACTTTCTCGTTGGGATTCATTCACTTGTTACCAAGTTTTGAGCTCTGATGTTCGTTTTAAAATATATATATACATACATATATATATATATTTATATATATATTTTTTTTTGATGTTTCAGCAAAATAGAAAATTTTGGAATCTGATATCGTTCAGCTTTCTCTTGTTACCTTGTATGTTTAATTGGCAACTGGTTTTTCTGTAATGAAATTTTTGCTTGGGGGTCTATTGCAAATTAGAGTAAGATTTCAGACGTGTACAAAAAATGTGGATCTTGTCTTTGTGAAAGGTGGTGATTCCCATTCTTACAATTGTTCGTTACAATGATGTTTTTACGTGGGTATATAGCATCATTACAGGAAATGATGGATAAAAAAAAAATTGAAATGTTTGTTGGAAAAATTTTTCAATTTCTTCACATGACATTGTATCTGTTCATCTGTTATTGAAAAACTGAAAAAGGACACTATTGCTCAAAAGACATGGACAAGTTCTACCCTTTTGCCGGAAATCAAGAAGTGAAAAAAAAAAAGTAACACCTTAAAAGTCACCACTAACATCTTTAGCTTTTTTTTTTTTTTAAAAAAAAAAATTGAAATCAGAAGAAACTCTTGATGGAACAAGGAATTGACATTTTGGTTTAATTTGGTGAAGTTCATGGGATCAACTCTATTCTACTTTCTCGGGACCCTGAAGCGAAAACACTGGTTTTACTTCTTCGCGGTGAACTGTTTTCGCTGTTCTAGCAGTGTTGGTGCTCTCATCCCCAACTTCTTGAGAGTAATTATCACCCTTTGCGTCTTCCCCTGTCCCAGCACGTGTTTCATGAAGTACATTCCTGGGAACATTGCCAATTAGGCTTTTGTACATGGTGAGAGCTTGAGCCATCATGTTGGCAGGATTGGAAGCTGAGCTTGGAAGCAACATTGTTGTGCCCTGTTGTGGCAATATCAAAGAAAAAAAAAAAAACAAGAGAATACTCCGTAAACAAATTGATTATTGCATTGGAATGATCGAATAGAACTTTCCATGAAAGAGTTTTCACCTCCTTGGCAATGTTGCTAAACGCTTGAATGTATTGTTCAGCAATTCTCAAACTTGCCGCCTGCAAATGAGACCGCAAAGTTAATTTCTTGAGATGAGGTATAGATCGGATAATTACTATCTTACAGTAACAAAATTTTAGCTGCTATACACAATTGAAACTTAATCAATGGATGGTGCAAAAGTAATACTCTATATACCATCTAAACATAGCAAAGCTTATGAAATAAAAGTAACCAGGAGAGATGTAGAAGTGTGTGACGGTACGGCGGGAAGGAATAAAATTGCAGCTTGCAATGTTTTATTGCAACAGCTCACTCTTTACTTTAGGATTTTGCATATTGCAGCTTACAATGAAAGAACTATCAAATCGTATGGGTTTTCACAGTTGAAATTTAAAAAACTCAGTCAAGTATGAATTCCTCCAAGTAAATGTTTCCTTTAAAGAAAGAAACTTGGTCAACTTGTATCCATCACAAAAATATTGGAGTTCAAAAAAGTGTCTATGGAAACATTAAACATTATAGAATATCAGTGCTTTTGCGCCAAGGAAAAACAAGCTGTATGGGACCAGCTCAATGCGTTATTATGGGCCGCTCACAAAGATTTGGCATACAAGCAGAAGGTTGAAAGTCGAATAGAAGGGATTGAAGAACCTACCTCTACTCCTCCACTGTCCTTAAGGGCCTTTGACACAAGAGCAAGACCTTCAGCAGTTGCTCTTGCTTTGGCAAGGATGGCTTCCGCTTCTCCTGAAGAAGAGATAAGAACCAAAGTTCAAATGAAGAGAACGCAAAATATGAGAAACATCATCAACATAATCCATATTAGTAATCATTGATTAGGGACAAATAACAGGTCAAAAATTAAAAGAAAATAAAACAGAGAAAAAACACCCTACACCCTCCACATATTTGGGCAATTTATTTCTCCCACGTATTTCTTCCAAGACCAATGTGCAATGCCGTGTCGAAGCACATTCTATCGTACAAGACTAATAAAAAGCATAACTGCTTCAAGAGATGTTAACAATAATTAAGAAGCATTGTCCTCAGCAACCCAAGAAGTTATTTATTCATGTTACTTACATATTGAGGATTAGATAATATAGAGATTACAACTTGCCTAGCGCTCTGTTGACCTGATCCATCTTTGCAGCTTCTGAAGCTAAGATTACAGAACTTTTTCTTCCATCCGCAATATTGATATTGGCCTGCCTTTCTCCTGTGAAAGATTAAAGATCAACTTTACAAAAACGGATATGACTCTGACATCCAAAAAACAATGTTATGTCACTTTAGAGAAAATGCAGATCAGGATCACTACTATCTTCCATGGTCACATCTACAGGTTGAAATATAAAGCTAACTTTAGTACCTTCTGATTCGAGAACTTGAGCTCTCCTTTTGCGTTCTGCTTCTGCTTGCATCTCCATAGCTGCCCTCACTCCACGAGGAGGCGATATATCCCCTGGAGAAGAATAAAGATAGAAATTTCAATAAGAAAGAAACTCTGCGAACGTAAACAAAGAAAGTATGCAATAGAAGAAAACATTGGCCAGAAAGCGACATACTTATCTCGTAGCGAAGGCACTCTAGGCCCCACTCTTTTGCAGCCTTGTTGATGGCCTCCTGCAACACGATGCCATTGCAACATTCTTTAATTGGACAGATTTCAGAAAGTAGAAATTTAGTTCAATCTACTGTTAAAGTCAAGTAATTGACGGCAAGGAAAGTATTACCAAGATTCAAAAGATCCCAACTTGTTGGAAAATGACTCTCATCCAACTCATGCTACGCTTCTTATTGACAACACCAATATACCATTTAAATAAGAAATATAGTACATTGCCTAGAAACGACCTAACCATGCTTCTCTCTAACTTTAAAGTAGCTACTAATAAAATTACAAACAAGATTAAAACTCCTCCAAAGGTCAAAACAAAGCACTGAATTTGTCAACGGAATGCTTCAACCATTATCACACATAAAAAAATTCAGATTTATGGTTTCCCCAATGAGAAGAGATGGTCCATATGAGCCAAAGCATTAATCTTCACAACCAACCGGTATTTTTTCTCTTTTTTCTCCCATCAAGAAAAGCAGTTCGAACTTAAAAATCAAGAAGCAAGTAAATGAACAAAAGAAGAAGAGAAAGAAAACTCACAACTATCTTCTCGTTAAGAGTATCTCTTTCCTCGAATGTCTTGTCGAGAGTGATTTTACCAAGCTCGCTACGCATTGTGGTTTGCGCAAGCTGAATAACCGCATATATAGGATTCTCAACCCCATAAGAAGCCAACTTCGGATCCACTATCTGTTCAACAAAACCACACAATAAAGAACAAATTATGTTTAGAAAATTCATGTTAATTTTGATCCAATGTTTTCATTAAACCTTTATCCTTTTTCTTAGTTGTTGTATTACTTAGATTAGAACTCTTTCATTTCTGATCATATTCCAATTTCCTTTCTTCTTCTTAGGTCACAAGTATATCAGCACATATGTTGCTAAAAAAAATTCAAAATTTTCAGATCTTTTCAGAAATAACAAGACCCAGTAAGCAACTAACAAGCCTCAAAACTCAAAACAATGCCCAAAAAATAAAAACGTTTCGTTTATTACCTTAACGTATAGAACTCCATCAATCAAAATACTAACGTTGTCCTTGGTAATGGCGGACTGGTCGGGAATGGGAATGGCCTCCTCTTTCAAGGAATGAACGTAGGCAATCCGATCGACGAAAGGAATCAAGAAATGGATTCCCGAAGGCAGAGTCTTGACGTACTTGCCGAATCTCTCGACCACGTACGCCTTCTTCTCGGGAACAATCCGGATTCCCCAATTCACCGGAGGCGTAATCTCATAGAGTCTGCTACAACATAAATCAAAATGCCCCAAAATCAGCTCTGAAAATGGAAAACCGCCATGAAAATCAAACGGGAAAGAAGTATCTCACCTGGAGCCAGAATCGCGAGCGTTGCGGATGTAGCGGACGGCGGTGAGAGAGAATTGCGAAGGCGGAACGACGGCGGAAGATCTGTTGAAGAGAATCGACGAAGAAAGAGTTGAGACATTCGCATTTCTGAGAGATCTTAGGGCTCTGAGGGAACTCGTGAGAGAGAATTGCGACGGCGGAACGACGGCGGAAGTTCTGTTGAAGAGAATCGACGCAGAGAGAGTTGAGACATTCGCATTTCTGAGAGATCTTAGGGCTCTGAGGGAACTCATTTTGGGGGTTTTGGGTTTTGGTCTGTTTCTTTCTTCTTTCTTTTCTCTTGTTTTTCTTGTCTTGTGTCAGGGGGTTTCTTTGGGGTTTTGGGTTTTACAATAATAATATTTGCTATTTGCTAAAAAGCAATCATTTTTAAATGAGATTGAACTTAAATGAAATGTAAAGGTAAAGCCAAATTCCAAATTTCCAGCTAGAGAGGCAAGGCAGACAATTGCGTGTCCAAATTCTTGCAATTTCTTGCCGGTTCTTAAAAGAAGGAAAAAAAAAAATAAAAAATTTCTCACTCTCTCACACTTTTTCAGATTTTATCCAAGCATTTTGTTTGAAAAAATCTTAACCAATCTCTGGGCGTGGCCTTCTTTCCTATGGTCAAGGTGGAACGCCAAAACGAACCTCATCTTCTTCGAATTAATGTCATGAATATTGAAGTTTCAAATTAATTAAAAATCATTAGAGCATCTCGAATGTAATGTCTTTTATTGTGTTAAATTTTTCATATTATATTTTGTGCTAAATTTCTCATCAAATATAGCACATGAGAAATTTAATATTTGATTGTTATTAGTTGAAATGTTTATTTTTTATGTAATCAATGTAATTTTTACATTTTTTAATTATTTTAAGGGACTTTCTCCAATGTTCTCTCATTTTTAAGAACATCAGTGTTCTTTATTTTTCAACCGTCAGATCGGTATCATAATTTGTATGTTGTGCATATTTTTTTAATCTGATGTGATTTTGACCATATTTAACGGCTGAAAAATAAGAGAATACTAGTGTTCCTAAAAAAGAGAGAACACCGGAGAAACTCCCTTATTTTAAAAATAAAAATTTACTTTTATAATTTTAAAGCTTAATAATTATGAAAAAAATAGTTTAGTATTTCAAATACCATTATACATTTGAGCAACAATGAAAATAATATATTACATCACACTTTTTAATGATAAATATACAATTACTATTAATATTTACATTAAAGAGAGATATAAAGTTATGAAACGCCACATAATTTTCTCTTAACACCCTTATATTTGACCAAAAAAGTATAAAAATAATGTACTTAACCTGAAATTCTATTTTGCAGTTTATTGCATGATCCTATGCTATGATTTTTGTGTGTGTGTCATAACCATGAGATTTTGAAAGTTTAAAATAGTCTTTACTGCAACTCAATCTTAATCATAGTAAAAACATATCATTATTTTAAAGTAATAAAGTTAATTTTCTACCTTTTATATTTGGGCTTATTACACTTACACCCCTTGTTTTTATCAAAATAACTGAGGCACCCATTTGACCAAAACAAATCACATCAACACCACTTTTATTTAACTATGTTAAATTTAGATTTGAAATGACAAATATACCCCCAATTAATATCAACCACTGATCTAAATCTCACAAATCCCATCCCTTAGTTCAAGTGTATTTTGAAGAAAAGAAATCCTAAACTCATAGAGCTCATTAGGTTCAGCTACAAAAGCCCCAACCCCACCTCCAAACGGCACCCATCCATGATCATTGAAAGTCCGAGCACATGTGAGGATTGGAGCGCCAGAGCGAGCAGCAAAGCCCTCTCCCATGTGACTACCAAAGAGAATATCGGAGAACCCCCTCACAAGCGAGTGTTGTTGAGTTAGCTTTCCTTCTGTCTTATGAGCGTTTTTGTTGATAAGAATGATTGATTATTTAAATTTAAATTAGTTTGTATTTAGTTTACCCCTACTATTTAGATATTAGATTAGTAGTTATCTTTTATTTTAAATTTTGAATCATTAGTTAATAATAAGAATGCAATATTTATAGAGTTACATGAGTAATTTGAATTTGAATCTAATACTAATTTAGATCAAATAATTTAAACTAAGACTTATCTAGTATCTACTAATAACTACATGATTTTATTAAATTTTATTCATTTCTTGTTCACCTTGTATTTATGCCATATTTTTCCAAATCAAATTCAAATAAGATAATATTTCCTATTCTGAAATTTAAACTAAGACAATATATTCTAAAAAAATAGATAAATACAATAAGAATTAAAATACAAATACCAATATTTTAAGGGAGGTTTTTTTTTTTTGGTACGTTTGGCATACTGATGAGCAAGATTTTTTAATCGGGATCTGCGTACGTTTAATTTTTACGTGATTTTATACATATCCAACAGATAAAAAATTTAACTTATCGATATGTTAATGTATCTTAAAAGGTCTCATATTTTAATACTAATATTTAAATTCCTTCTTTAAGGGGAATATTTATATATTTATTTTTTAGTCATACCGGTAATAGAATATTTATCAGACGTAAAGGATTTGATTAGATGTGTGTGTCTTTAATCTTGTTTTCTTGAGATTTGAGAAGCCTCATTTTGGGCCATAGCATTTTATTCACAGGCACTACATAAAGTTGGAACGTCTTTCTGCACATTGATGGGTATTTTTGACATTTTCTAAAAATTTAACTGTCAAATTTGTCAACTGACAGAAGGATCTCTCTGTAAATTTTATGAAAAATCAGGAAGTATTAACGTAATTAGCTTTGGTCAAGAGATATCTTTATTATTTTGACAAGACACAGGAGTGTCAATGTAAGTTGACCTTACAATTTGAGACAAATGTCAAATTCTATTTATGTATATGTTCTTGTGAACGATTTTTTTATTTTTATTTTTTGTACACTTTGTGAAGGAGTTATACGTGTACATATCCCTCAAACATATGCATGTATTAAAGGTATATTTAGCCATGAATATCCCTACAAAAAGCTATATTTATCACCACTTTTACTTGGGTTTAATTTTTCTCCAATCACATTTTAGTTAATTTCCAGTGCTTTTGTGGCGCGATCACACAATATACTGAAAGCTTTTATAGTACTCTTTGTTAAAAAAAGAAAAATAGTAGTTATATAGTTTGAATATGCTCTCTCCATCAAACGGAAAAAAAAAAATCTTCTAACAAAAAATAAATAAATGCAGTCAAAACCTACCATATAAATGCCCATTTAGTTTGCTGATTTAAATTTTTAATTCGAGTTTATATGTGATTTTATGTGATAATTTTCTGAAAATTTCTTACTGTAACAAAATTTAAATCAGTGAAATGAACCGGGCTAAGTGTCGAAAATCCTTTTTTTGGTAGTCCAAAC